CTCATAACAATCAGACCTAAGACCTAAACCCTAGTGATATTAGTGTTGGGCATCACTCCCTGGGTCAGCTCAGATACCCTTTCCTGTAAGTAAGTGATGATTTATCTTGAAAATGAACTACAACTGAAGGTGAATTGGAAAAGTGTGTTTTTTAAGACCTGCAGCACACTCACAAAGACTTCTACTCCGACCCAACATAAAGGGGACATCGGCAATGAGCTGTGACCGGAGCTCTAGGGCGTGAATCAAGATCACCATAAACAGAATTAAAAAGAATAAATACTTGGCTATCATAGAGGCCAAGTGATTTATCCCGCACTTTCACAGCGTGGGCAAAACAGCGGCCCCCGAGAAATCAATATGTAATTATAGACATCCTACCCAGGGCCGTTCCTCTCCCAGCATGCACCTCCCACCTGCCACCCTCAAAACAAATGTCAGAACAGGACTCCACTGGCCCAAGTACAAGAGAGAGATAAATCCTGCTGGTGTAGCCGTGGATGCTTTTGAGAGCTTTTATTAAATGTTTTAAGCACTGTGAAAGTGTATTAATCTAATAATTCATCACCACATACACAGTCAGCTTGAGTCCTGGATCTATAGTCCGTCTGTGGGAGCGGATCCCTCAGTCAATATACAGTAAGTACATTTATAGAAATGTGTGAACATTTATGGACCTTCAATATGTGCCACCTTTAGCTCCTGTGCATGTGTTATTATTGCATTGTACTGTACTTTTTCTTTTTATTGAATTGAATTGCAGTAAACTCCAAGTTGTTCAGAAAATGTCTAGAACACCCAAGTTCTGGGTGTTAAATCACTACCAAGAGGGTAGGGAATCACAGCAAGAAGGTTGTGGGTTCAATCCCATGTGGAGCCAGGCCGTACTGTGTGGAGTTTGTATCTTTGTCCCCGTCTGGGTGGGTTAATGGTGCTCTACCTAAAACATGCAACATTATGAACGTATTGAGGGAGGGGTCAGAGGGGCCAATGGCACATACTGGTTTCCCTGCTTCCGTTGTGCCCCAAGGCAGCTGTGGCCACTCTGGTAGTTTACCACCACTGCACAGAGTGAATGATTAGTGACTCCAGTGCCGTGTTTGAGAGACTGGTTCTAGGTTCTAGCTCAGTAAGCGATTGTTTCACACCCACTATTTTGGTTTGTGCTCTCTTCAAGCCTGGTGTTTATATCGTGATACTGTCTTTATAAATCCAGACATGAGCCCAAACAACTGACCAATCAGGGGCCTACCGGCACCACTCCTGATTGGCCCTGGTAACGCGGCCATTGCCACCTAACAGAATTCGCATACATTTGCCTCCGAACTCTTTCTCAAATAGCCTGTTTGAATTAGCTCTTATTTTCCTGCAGGCCACTTCCCAATATACACTCTTTGGAGGACCAGTGCGGTATTTGCAGCCGCTTGCACCTGTCATGGGTGAAGCATGGACCACTGCTCGAGTGTTTGCCGTGACGCAGCTTTTGGTCAAAAAGAGAATGCTGGAGAAAGTGCATTAATGTGATCGTTTTTTAACATGGTTGATCATTGGAAACGTGGCCAATTGATTGGAGCTAAACGAGAAGAACAGCAAATCCTCACACAAAAAAATCAGAAAGTGCTTGGAGAAAAACCCTGCTAATTTATTTCTGTTATGTGAACAACTCCTAAAACAAAGAAGACACCGAGAAGTATTGGAGAAATGTTTATAGTATGGCTGCTCCTTCTATTTACAATTAGTTTTAACTCAGTAGTGCAGTGTTTTACATCATCACTTATAACAGCCTCATAGGGATAGGATGAAGAAGGGAAAGGCCAGGACAGTTCCAGGTTTTGTGAACTGAGAAATCCACAAAATGTTCTTAGATAGATATTTGTTTATATGAATAGTTACATCTCTCTTAGTCCCAGAACATTATTGGGAATTTCGGTGCGCTTTTCGACCATAAATAGTAAAAAAATAAAAAAAACATAAAAAACATTAGAATGTAGTCATCTCATCATTTAGTTGCATAACTTGTTTATAAGAAGACTAGGCCTCATCACATACGTCCTTGCTTCTATAAAGAAGCCTTTTGTTGGTTGTTGTTCACAGTAGCTTCTGAATGTCAGTGTGGTGCTTTTACACAGTGTGGGAGGAGAGGTGGGCAGATAAACATCACTTACTAAATACCAAATTACTGTAAGCCATCAGGATTTAGGACGAAAAAGCTGCGATCATATATCAGGGTGACGGCTGCGTTTCCTGCCGTTGAAACAGCACATTTGGCTGTAATGAATCTTAAATGCCAATGCCTCGAGGCAATTCTGCTCCTGCCATCCATCCATTCTCTACTGTTTTTACTATGTCTTACCTTTTTGCTCTTTGTTCTCATTTACACTTTTCTTTCATTTAATTCCACCATCACCAAACTCCCATGACTCCTCTCAATTTGTACATCTTAAGGACAATGTGTCGTTCTATTGACACATTCATAAAGATTTTTTACTTGACTCTTTTGCCAATCAAATAGCAGAATGAGTCTATCATTTGTGGAACCGGCTTGTTTGGTTTTGGCTCTAGCCTTTGTATACAGCAAATTTCACACAGACAAAAATAACACACATTTTGGTTTAGTCTAAATGAAAGCATACTGATACAAAAATAAGTATAGTCTTAGCTCTACATAGAGTTTAGTGTGTACCGTTTCAAGCTAAAACCCAGCAGGTGGTGTGCAGCAGTAATACAGCCACAGGCGACAAAAGTTGTATTTTAATTTCAATCCAACTTTAAGACTGCATATTACATCTGGACCCTTTTTTTAAAGAGTATTGTGCTCTCATGAAGCACTTTGAATTGCCTTATACACAAATTGTACTAAATAAATGATTGATCGATCGATTTTCCTTATCGTGTACGCAATTCAGTGTTTTATTGTAAGGTATTGATGACAAGAAACGACTTTGTTATTAGAAAAAGCCATGTAACAATCAAATCTTCTTACAGTGATTTTCCCCAAGATAAACTATTGGCTTATTCTCTGCAAAAAATATATATATATTTTTTTTGTTTTGTTTTTTTTTTTATTTAACACCATGTGATACAGATTCCATAAAAAAACATAAATTACTATGTACAACATAGTAGTGCAGAATATATTGGTGGGGGAGGGAAGGGGGAGTGGGGGGGGGGCATTTTTAAGGCATCCAGAGCATGAAACAAAGAAAACAAAATACTTAATAAAAAAACTAAATAACAAGCAAGTACTGTCGTGGAAATATGTAGGTTCTAATGTGTAAGTGTGGGTGTTAATGTATTTGAGTGCTTGTGTATATGTATAAATGTGTGACCATATGTGTCTGAAGAAGAAATAGAAAAACAGAACAATAACAGTAAATAAAGCTCTGCAAAAAATATAATAAATAAGTGAGCTTATTTAAATCATGTTTCTTATTTGAGAGAAGAAAACAGAGAGAATACAATTTAGCTTGTCCCATTGGCAAATCTTGTTTTAAGACGTTGAAATATACTCACTTGAATCAAGATGAAAAACACTTTTAATCAAGCATTTACCGCCTCATATTTTCTGCAGTGATATGTGAGGTGTCTTGCATCAAATAACGCCACTTCCATATGGATATTATGGATACTGAGATATTTTCAGACACACTTGTGCCGCTCAGCCGAAGCTCTTTGTAATCAAACGCTGGAGCCTGAGGCGGAAGGAGGGGGAGGCGTATGAAAACTCAGCTCCTGCTCCAATCTTTGCAGTCCTCATTCAGAGTAGATATTGATGGGTAATGATGTGTATGTCAGTTTGACCAGAACCCTGTCTCCAGCGGCCAGACCATGAGGCACCTGCAGCGATGAAAGTCAGCCAGCTCAGCACAAGGCCACGGAGCGCGAGATGTAACGATAATGCAGTATAAAAAGGAAAATATCTTTACAGCTATGGCCACTTGCTTAAGGCGGTTGTTTTTGTGCTTAAAGTGGACGTTATTGCTGGGGATATAGACCATTAATGTTTAATGAAGAAAAAGAGAAGTTGGATATATGTAGCAGTGGCTGATTATTGTATTGGAAAGTTGTATGACCTACGCCATGCTCAGTAATGGGAATCAGTATTATGGATTTTATTTTTGAATAAAATAGTGAGCTCAACATAATATCATGTGTTTTCTTTCTCTCTAGAGTGGTGAGGATAGATTTAAGTTGTTGTGATAGTTAGTAAGAAGTAGATGCCATGGTGCCTGTTGCTATGCGGGCAATCCTTCTACTGAACAGCGCTTCCTGAGGCTCTTAAACACCCACCACCTCCCCAGCACCCCCTCTGGCTCTTGGCTCCGCCTACACCCCATTCACACCATACTCCAGCCACCACCAGTGATTGACCCCGGGGGATCTGAGATCATCTTCAGCTGCAATCGATCTCATTGCTGCAAGTGTCACTGCCGGGGTCAATGCGCCAAACAAATAAATCATTTTAATGTATTAGTTGTGTCTTTGGTCTCTTCAGATTGAACTACTGTAATTTGGTTGTTATTATGCATTACCCCAAACAGAATTGTGTCTCTGTGGATAAATAAAGTTTCTGTTTTGGATTCAACTGTTTTTGGAATCAGAATCCCATTTTATTTCATGTTGCCATTGTAAGTAATAGGAATTCGTTTCATTTCATTTCATTTCAAAGCAAAAATGAAATGAAAGAAATATATAAATACACACTTTAGACATTTAACAGTGCAGATTATCTATAAGTGATAAAGTGACGGAAGCGTAAATTGAGAATTTGAATGAGCCTGGATCGAGTGATGAGTAATGAAGTGACATAACTATGGACTTAACAGTGAGACTTAAGAGTGGGAATTTTCAACTGTCAACATTTCTACTCCTTTTCAGGTTCTGAAATGTTATTTGGGGCAGAACTTTATTTTTGTTTTACATTTAAATGTGTCCCTTTGGCTTCACCTGCCATTGGTTATAATGCTGTAGTGATCTGTGAGAGACATAAAGGGGAAAAGTTAAAACAGGTGGGCGATCGGGATGTGGAGAGATAGGTGTAGGAGACTGTCGGGCAGAGATGGATTAGTGTGTCTCCTGCTACCTGTGCAGGGGTCAGTGTCGAACTGCCGGGGCCTGATAAGAGCACCGCAATAGGCTCAGTGAGGACATTGACTGGTAAGCTCATTGATTTAGCAAAGAGAACGATGAGCAGAGTTCAGCCACCGAGAGCTGTTCATCAAAGTGTCAGACTCCACAGCGCCCCCTGGCCTTCTCTGGCAGTGGGTCATACTGTTCTGTTTTGCAGGTGACACCAGAACTCTATGGGAAAGGAGTCATTTTCAATGACATTTTGAAAAGGAAAATGTGAGATCATTATTTGATAGTAATTAGATTCACAAACCTGTCATATTATTCTTTGTTTGAAAGTCATTTCCACTGCCAGCATCATTCTTCATGCATAGGTTTTCTTTTTTTCTTTTTTTTTTATATATGATCACCACTTTTGAAAGAAAATAGTCATCCACCACAAACCTGCTTCAAAATCAATCTTTTGAATCAAAGAGGAAATGAGCAACACATGAGTAATGTTATATTTACAATGAGATACAACATGTGGACGGAATCCCATCGGATATTTATTTCCTTACAGTCTCAGCAGTCATTAACCTCAGGTGTCAGCACTTTATAAATGTTTGACTGAATATCCATGAATAACCTTTAAACATCTTGTTATACATTAAGTTGATTAAGTTAGTTGTTATTAAATGAAAAAGTATTTGCATACTTTCTGTTGTGCTCTTGTTATTTATCACACAGATGTTTCAGATGATGTCATTTGAATCTAAAAATGGCCAGGTCAACTCATTATTATGCGTTAAAAATGTAAATACCAGAATGACATCTACAATGTAAACAGCTCAGTCTGGATCTGGCTTGGATTTGAAATGGCTCCGATTGACAGGTGGCTCAGCCAATCATTAACATGCATGTTGTATTTGAGTATACTGTAACTATATAACAAACCAATGATGGAAGAAACATGGAAATGCAATTAAAACAAACTGTGAGAGAGGAACATGACACCTGCATGTGAAAACCTGTGAGACCCCTGAAGCTACACCCAACAGAGCCAGAGCACACAGCAGCCACGTGGATAGCACTCTTGCTTCTCAGCAAGAAGGTCCTGGATTCGAATCCCGGTCGAAACAGGGGCCTTTCTGAGTGGAGTTTGCTTGTTCTCCCTATGCCTGTGTAGGTTTCCTCCGGTTTCTCCTACCACTAAAAACATGCACAATAGGTCTGGCATGTGCCTATGGCAACCTCACTCCCAAATCTCTTCTGTGTGAAGTGAGAGACAGATGGAGAAAAACAATTGTGAAGCGCTTTGTGACTCTTGTCTGTGAAAGGCACTGTATAAATAAAGATTAGTTACTTAATTACTGGTTAGTACTGTGAGGGGACATCTCTGGGAACACTAGGTGCCACAGTGGGGCGCCAAACTGTGATTGTGTTCTTGGGTGGTGGTGGGGGAGGCCGATGGTATAGATTTGTTGACTTGCTTCTATCAGTCTGTCCCTGGGCATCTGTGGCTACTGTAGTAGTTTGTATGTTTATTTTATTGTGTGATATTAGGAATGCAGATGTCAGTCGACCTACATTCAACTGTATTCCTGTTCACTGTTGTGCTAATGCCATTCAGCCGTAGTTTGCATACTCATTTATTTGGCACATGTCACCATGCAATTAGCAGTCTGTTAGCGGATACTTGTCATATGAGCTATTTCTGCCTCTTGATCCAACTCATTTTCCCAAACACACTGGAGGGATTTTCACTAAAAGACCTAGCGAAGCAAAGGGAACCAGACATCAGACCAGCTGCATCTCTGGCTCCAGGGTCCACCCCACAGTCCGCACACAAAATATAAGGGCATTTCCAGCTTCTACCGACACAGGCGGTTTTCATTTGGCCTGGAGCAGAGCAGCGCAAGGCCCAGCATGGCAAATCTTTGCAGGTCGCCTTGTATTTTCTCATCACCATCCTTCACCTGGGGAGCTACGGATCCTGTCGTGGATGTGGCAAGGGAGCAGGGATGAGTGAGGAAGCGCGAGAGGCACCAAATGAAACTTACATGAGGCGACCACAATGAAAATGCAAAGATTGAACTTTTCGCTGGGGCAGGGGGACAGGGTGAGGGAGAAGAGACGGCCCTGTGGGGTGAGACGAGATGGCTGCTGGACGTGAGGACAGAAGAGGAAGAAAGAGGGCATCATCAGAATCCTAATCCTTCTGTTCCACTTTTGTTGTTTGGCCTTTTAAAAATTACAAAATCCACTGTGGACTTCCAATCCTACAGTTTTTCAATATTATAGAATTATTATTTCACCTATATCTATTGCAACATGATTAAAATTTCTCAAAACTATTTAAAATAGATATAAAATGCCAGTTGGAAGGTGGGGCCAGCATTTTTTTCTTTGTTTGCTATATTTTTTTATTAGATATTTTTTTAACAAACCTAACATACTCCTCACGCAGTTTCAGGACAAAAATAAAACTAAAAAATCTGCACGACTCAAATAAAACAGTAACTTCAATTCAATGTATTTTTGAATAGCCCTAAATCACAACAGTATTTATCTTGGAGAACTTTACATAGTTGTTGATTTGCCAAGACAAATCAGAGAATCAAACAATTCAAATACAGCAAATGCAACAACAACAAAACACATAGAGCCATTTGTCCATTAGGGGCAGATGACTAATGTCCATAAATGTTGATAGATGTTCAGAAATGTTGTTATATGTCCTGGATCATCACCACTGTCCTTAGACCTTCCTGCTTCGGCAACGACAATCAATTTCCTTGATATCCTATTATATTACTTCTCAATGTGGGTGGAAGTGTTGCTTGAATGCAAGCACCGGCTGCTGGGAGTTGGCAGAGGTGGCAGAGGTCTGGATGGTTCTTTGGAGGACGTCTTGAATACTCCACACACAAAAGTGTCTCTGTGTGTATCTCGCTGTCTGTCTCCTCCAGGAGGAGCAGCCTCATGATCGATGGCCTGCATTTGGAGATGGAGCAGTCACACTGTTTGTTTGTCAGTGTTTCGCATGAGTGCAGAGTGACAGCTGGGACCAGTGCAATGTTTTCAAGTCTGCCTGGCAGCAGAACTTAGGCCTCTGCTGGGGACATGGAGGAGCATTACACAATTTGCATTCACTTTAACATATGGTATTGAAGGAAAACATTTTTGGCGAAATTGAACTTCTGTCTTTGTAGACAACTAGTATAAATTATAAATTTCCTTATTTTGGCTTGTTCTCCCGTGACTGTAAACAAGTGGTGCTAAAGTATTTTCCGATATGGAAGTACCCGTTATGCGTCTATGCGTTCATAGACGCATCTATAGAGTTTGTATTGTTTCTAGCTAAACCCCAGCAGTTGGTTCACATCAGTAATCAGTAATGTGTCACAGACACAAAGACAGTTGGATTGTAATAAATTAATAATTAAACCAAAAGAGTGCATGATACACACTGTCCGTCTAAGTCTTTCCATTAATTACAAAGACTGAAGTAATAATTGCTGAACAGGAAGGATGAACGATAACTTCAAAATTAAATGATTGTCTCAAAAAGGACAAATGTGCTGAGTGGTTTAAAGGACCTGAGTTGCTGTGTTCTGAATGTACAGAATGGGAATAGAGATTGTGGTTGATATTGTTGATTACGCTGCAGAAAACTGTGATTACTTTATTCCTATTTATCAGAACATTTGGTGTTTGATGAAGGCTAAATAAATATCATCAGCACTAATTCAAGCTCTTCTTCCTGTCTTGTTTTTGAATGCTGCGAAAATAGATCTCTCAGCACAACGGAGATGTGTTTTCGATCTGGAACGCAGGATATGAGAGGGGACTTCATCTGATAATAAATGTAGCTTTCACAGCCCAAAAGTGAATTCCCAGCATTTTCAGATCATGACTGATGATGATTCAGTGATTCACTAATTACCATTATCTTGGCTCCACACTTTGGAAATGAACCCGCTGCTCCACTGAGAAAACTCCCCAAGATAGTCTGTGTCATCTGCTTTCAGAGGCAGCTTGTTAGGCTTTGAAAGGGACATCTCATACTTGGATCAAAGTAAAACATATAAAGTTATCAGGATTTCTTGATTGCTTGGTATACATAGGGGTTGTTTTTCTATACATTAAAGAGTGTTAGATGTGCTGTCACGATTCAAAAAGGAGGACCCAAATTCAATACTGCAAAAATAATATAATTTAATAAACAAGAATCCAAAAACAATACTTAAAGACACAGGAACTGAAGACAAAGACAAGAACCACAGAACAAGCACTCAATGGACTGACAAGAGGGAATAAACAGAACAGGAAGTAAAAATCAAAAAGACACAGGAGAACAGGCATTACAAAATAAAACAGGAACTAAGAAATGACAACCATGACATTTGCTTAAGATTAAATATAAGGAACTATAAAATCATATATTTTGGAAGTATTTATATTTATGCCTTTAAGTTATTGGGCTGGTTTTATATAGTACTTAAATTACTGAGTCTAGTGAATGCCTATTTGGCACAGTGTGTTAGTCTGAAACGTTTGATATTAATATGCATGGCAGCATGTTGAATAATGTGCCATGACCCTCCCAATACATAAAAGAAAGAAAGAAACCATTCTGAAATTCAGACGTATAACTTACATAGCAGTTATGTTGACCTCATTACTGAACTTTTTTTGGCCTATTTTCCATCTCTTGGTTTTCTATTGGAGCTCCCTTTAGCATTCGTCAAATTTTCACTTTTCCACCCGCTGTGCACTTTATGTATGAATAATTTCTGTCGTGTTGTCAACAAAACATTACTTGTTGACAACAGGTGAACCACAGCACAGAGACTGCTCTTTTAAAGATTTTAAATGATTTTAGACTAAATTATGATTCTAAAAAGGTAACCGTGTTGGTTCTACTGGATCTTAGTAGATCGACACAGTAGACCACACAATTCTTTTATCACGCCTACAACACCTCGGCCTCTCTGGTGCTGTCCACAAATGGTTCACTTCTTATTTAACAGACAGATCCTTCATGGTAAGTTTGGATACCTGCTCCTCTCAGGTCCATAAAATCACATGTGGTGTGCCCCAGGGTTCCATTTTAGGTCCAGTCCTTTTTAACCTGTACATGCTCCCTCTTGGCGGTGTCATCAGGAGACATGGAATTGACTTCCACAGTTATGCAGATGATACACAGCTGTACATCTCCATGTCTCCTGATGACACCAGGCCAATGGATGCTCTTTTTAACTGCATTTTAGACCTGAAATCCTGGATGGCAGAAAACTTTCTTCAGCTCAACCAGGACAAAACTGAGGTTTTAGTCATCGGTCCTGAGGCCCAGAGAGAGAAACTTTTACCGAAACTCCAATCACACTCTTTTAATCCATCATCACAAGTGAGAAACCTGGGCGTAATCTTTGACTCTGAGCTGACTTTTATTCCTCACATTAAGAATATAACAAAAATAGGTTTTTATCATTTAAAGAACATCGCCAGAGTCCGCCCCATTCTCTCTCGGGGCAACACGGAGACGCTGATGCATGCTTTTATCACCAGTCGCATTGACTACTGTAATGCCCTGCTCTCTGGTCTTCCCAAAAAGAACATTTCAGGTTTACAATTACTTCAAAACTTGGCCGCACGTGTCCTGACTAAGACCAGGGGGCGGGACCACATTACACCGGTTTTTAAAATCGCTGCATTGGCTCCCCGTGTGTTTCAGGATCGATTTTAAGGTTCTTTTAATGGTTTTTAAATGTCTTAATGGTCTTGGGCCTTCTTATCTTTCAGATTTGCTTTTATCCTATGAACCTTCCCGGCCCCTGCGCTCCTCCGGCAGCAGACTTCTAACCATCCCCAAAGTCAGGACACACACTCACGGCGAGGCATCTTTCCAGCACTACGGCCCCCGTCTCTGGAACAGTCTGCCGGAGGAGCTCAGGGCCGCAGAGAACGTTCATATTTTTAAGAGTAGGCTCAAGACGCACCTTTTTAGAGTAGCTTTTGATTAGTATTTATTATTTATTATTGCTTTTTAGTACATCTATTTATGTTTTTAGACATTCTATTTTTATTTATTTTTATTATTTACTATTTTTAATTATTTATTGTATCTACCCATTTACTATTGTTATTATTAATATTAGGCAGCTGCCATCTTTCTTTTTATTGTCGCATTTTATTGTTCTACTTTCTATTGTATTATTGTATTGTTTTAGTGTCCCCAGTGTTTCCTCTGGAGGAGCCCTCTGCACTGGGAGCTGGGGTCTGCTGCGGCTTCGGGGGTCTGGCTCTTGGATCCGGTGGGGGTCTGGGGCCTCCTCTCTCCTCTGGGTCCTGTGTCGTTGCCTGTGGCTGCAGCCGGCTCTCTGCTCCTGGTGCAGATGGCTCCTTGGATGACGGTTCTTCAGCCGGTTACATCTGCTCCCAGCCCCATGTCTTTTTATTGTTTTACCTATTTTACCTGATATGACTTTATACTTGTGTGTGTGTGTATGTGTGTGTGTGTGGGTGTACATGTGTGTGTGTGTGTATACGCATGTGGTTGTATATATAATTATAAATGTGGTTTTGGGGGGGTCTGTGGGGAGGAGGGTTTAGGGCTGGGCATGTTGGATTGTTTTTAACTAAACTGTAAAGCACTTTGTGTTACACTTTTTGTATGAAAAGCGCTTTATAAATAAAATTTGATTGATTGATTGATTGATACTTACAGTCTGTATGTTTGTTGCACTCAAAAGAGGCTGGGCCCTGTTGCTGAAAACTTGGCACCCGTAGAGGCTATGGCCAGTAATGGGAACCTCTGGGTTAATAGGATAATAAAATAAAAAAACAAAATATAATAATGTAATGCAATTATGTATCACTGTTTAAGATAAATACATTGATACAGTGAAATAAAAACATTGAGAATAGTAGTTGAATATTGAAGAATGTTAAATTCTGGGCATGTGTGTTGCTACAGTAACACACACTGACCAAAGCCCTGAACTGGCACCTTGGAAAAGGAGTTTTACAGAATTAACAACACTTGAGAATCAGAACCACAATGTTTTGTTTGTCAGTGAAAAAAATGTAACAATTAGGAATATGCTTAAAAAATTATATAGCGCAAAAAAAATACAAATAGCAATAATAATAACACTGGCTAGTTTCAAACTGATTTCACTTCTTCAAATATTTAT